AAGTTGGAGTTCTAGCTCTTAAACAGCTCAGCCTCATTATGGAGAGCAATTTGTGCTTCTTATGAAGAACAAAACCAGGGCCATTTCTTTTTCCAGGTCACTCATCAACATGAGGAGTAAGGGATCATGCTGGGATAGGACATGGATCATAACCAGGGCCCGAGGGAGTTTCCAGTTTTATATACCATCAGTGATTCTCATGTAGGCCGTGCAGTGAGCATTCTTTGGGAGGAGGCACTTCCTCCTGTCCTCTTTGACTTTTCATAAGTCATACCTCTCTGAATCCTTGTTTCTTTATGTTTCTTAGTAGACCCTAAATGAGATGAATGGGTCCTCCTGTCACTCCTTTAGCCTGTGTGTCTAAGATTTACCAAACCTTTGAATGAGAGAGGCATTTTGATAGCAGAGAAACAAAATCAATGTGTCATTTTAAAGCATTTCAAATTCAGTCTTACACCATAAAGTAAATCCAATGTCATATATGCCTAATGCTTAGTTAACACTTGCTAGTAATGCCTACCTTACCTGGGTAGTGATCTTTATAGTTTATGAGGCTAGCACTTCAGTTTATGTCAGGGGGTATTTTTTTCTGACAGTCTGTTCTTCCAGTAGGTCAGTATACTTCTTGGAGGGTTCCCCTTCCCATAATACTATTCTTAACTTTTATATACCATCAGATATACAGATAAATGGTTAGCAATTTATGAACTGATATTTATAAGTCAGCAGGCATTTTATATACTGCATCCTCACAAATAAGCCCTCAGTATGATCTTTGCTCTTAGTGTTGACACTATAAGTTCCTGGCAAAAATAGTCAAGTGAGTATAGAAGAGCATAGGAGAAAAAATGTGCAGTCCTGGGTTGTTCTGATAACTATTTGTACTAGGAACAGTACCACCATGAATTAATCTGGCCGGGGTTACCCAATGGTCCATCTTACTGGTGCAAACTTCCATGCATGGATTTAGTCGTCCTGAGAACAGCATTTCCATAACACTTACAGAAGGCAGCCTGTGGCCCAGTATATATCACATAGCAGACTATGGGAATGATTAATCTAATTTTTTGGGTGGTATTGAAATTTGAACCCAGGGCCTTGTGTATGTTAGGCAAGGGTTCTACCACTGAACTAGATCCCCATCCCTTTTTTATTTTGAAACAGAGTCTCACTGAGTTGCCAAGGCTGGCCTTGAACTTGTAATCCTCCTTGCCTCAGTCTTCCTTGTAGCTGGGACTACAGGTGTGTACCATAATTCCTGGAAAATGATTGAATCTTAATGAACTTTTCTTATTACTTTCTTAGGATGGCTGCTCTTCTGAAGAGGTTAATGCTACAAACCTTAAGGACTGAAAATAATTGCATTGGAAGGTGTTTTGATAAACACATTGTACAAAAGACAGTCCCAGCACAGTTGTCCCTGGTTGCTTCTGCCCCAAGACTGCCCTACCTAATTCATGCAAAAAGATTTAGTACAGTTGAGGACAGCCAGGATGAGAGGAAAACGAAAAAAAAGAATGATACGACTTTCAGTAATATTGGAAGGAAAATTGGTGAGCGAATTATTCGTGTCCTTGATGAGAAGGGCAATGATTTGGGAAACATGCACCGAGCAGATGCGATTAGACTCATGGAAGAGCGAGACCTGAGGCTGGTGAGGAGGAACGTCAGCACAGAGCCCCCGGAATACCAGCTCATGACAGGAACACAGATTCACCAGGAACGGCTACGGCTCAGAGACATGGAAAAGGCCAAACTAAAAGCTGGTAGGTATTTTGCTGTTTGTTTCTTGAATCCTTTAGGACCAAAAATCGGCAATTTAAACTTTGGCATCTGCCATGATGCCTGTGACAGCGGGAAACGAGAAACTGGAAAATTCAAAATATTCATGGTTTTACCAGCATTCCCAGTGTCTTTGACTCCTCCGCTGTCCCTTAGTTCTGTTCCTTATTTAATTCCCTGTATCTATTGTCTCTTCCTTTGAACCTTTGTAAATTGGAGGGTGAAACAAGGTGAACCAACCAAAACAATTGAAATACCCTGCCTCTGTCCTGTCGCCTTGTCTCTGAGTGATGCAATGAAATTCAGAAGAGGTGGAATCAGACCTGTCCTAGACAATTCACTTAACTCCTTCCTTTTGTTTTGCTTTTCTCATCTCTTAACTAGAAGTGTTTGGTTAATTATTTGGAAGCACCTTTTAAATTTTGAAGGGGTCCAAATTGCACCTCATACCAAAGCATCTTATTAGAATATCAGTTGTGATGCTCATTTGCATACGTGGCCAGTCACCATTCCAGGCACTTATCTATGAAGCCTCACAGAAGCCATGAGCTGGATATTAAGTGAAGATATCCTTGTTTTTCATGGTTCCTAAAAAGTGCTGATTGTTATGGAAGATTGCTCACTGGGAAGCACCCTGGGACAATTGTCAGAAAACTGGTACCTGGGCAGCCATCCTGAGGTTTTGTGCTTTGAGAAAAGCACATGTTGACTGTGGCTCAGTTTTGTACCACCAGAGTTAACAAGGATGTTGATTGGAAAATAGATATTCAGAAGAGATCAACCAGAGGGGAAAGGACATCAAACTATGTCATTGAAAAAAGTTGAACAACAACCACAAAAACAAAAGCTGAACAGACTGGAGAAGTTGAAGGGCTAATATATGGAAGGCATTGCTAATGGAGACCCAGGACCAACTGTAGGAACTGCCAGGAAGCAAGGTGTTAAAAACTCTTTTTAAAAGATTTTTTTTTTTTTATTTAAAAGGTTACAGAAAAAATAGATAATAAACCTTGTTACCCATCATCCAAAATGAACAAGTGTTAACATGGTTATACTTCACATATTTAGTAGAAATCACTACAGAAAAGTTGAAGCCCCTTCCCCAGAGGTGTCCTTGCTGTTAGTGTGTAGATCCACTTGCTAAACTCGTTACATAGATACACCCATAAACACTAGATTTTAATAGTAAGAAAGTATAAATGACACTATTGTTTCTAACATCTGTTCATATTTACATAATAGCTATAGCTAGTTTATTATAATTACCATATTTTAAGAACATATCAAATTTGTTAATCCATTTTCATGACATTGGGTTTATTCCCAGTTTTTCATTATTATGAACACTTGTTCATACTATAAATTCAATGAAGTCACATAGTTGCACTTGCTCTCATCAGCAACATATGAAAATTCTCTACATTCTCACCTACACTTAGTACTGTCATGCTATAATTTTTGCATCCTAATAGGTGAGAAATCATTACTTACTGTTCTGTTTCCTGCCACCATTTGAGCTTTTTTGAGTTGCCTATTCATGTTCATTTTTTCTTGGTTATTTTTCTTCCTGATTTATAGTGTTCTGTTATATATAATGCAAAAACCCTATCAGATTTGAACTGGCAGGTAAAATATTGGTACTTTATGTCTATCTCCCCAATTTAAAAGAGCAGTTACTGGTCTGTGAAGCTGCAAGTCAGATGAGGACCATTGAGGCCTCTGTGGCAACCTAAGATCTTCAAGTTGTGCATGCAAGTTCGGGTTTCAAAGGAGACTAGTAAGTAGTTCTAGCATCAAATCTCACTGTTTCAAACCAGGACCAGCTGTGACAAAGGAACTAACTTTTTCTTCAAATATTGAACAACATGATTTGGACACAAAGAGTAAACAGATTCAGCAATGGATTGAGAAAAAATACCAAGTTCAAATTACTATAAAGAAGGGGAAAAATGCAGATGAGCAAGAAAATAAGATGGTAAGTAGAAGCTGGAATAAGTAACCACTTGTGTTTTTTTGTTTTCTGATATAAAAATACATTTGTAGAAAATCTGGGAAAATTAAAAGCAAAGAAAAGTGAGTGTAATTCTACTTCCCAGTAATGACAAGAGCTTTCCAGTTTGTTTCTTCTCAAAGCACAAGCATATTGTATTTTCCATTGTAACATACCTTGCCATATGAAAAATGTGTAAGTTAATATACTGTTCTATTTTACAGATTGTTGACTGTGTAGCCTTTAAAATAGGAAAACTAGAAACTTCATAGATTCTTCTTTTAGGTTGTCCTAAGTGTTTATGAGAATTCTATAGCTGAAATGTGTTGATTTACAATGCCAGGACAAGTTTATGTGCTGTTTGTTCCACTTTTTAAAAAATATTTCTTAGTTGTTGATGTACCTTTATTATTTATTTATTTATATGTGGTGCTGAGGATCGAACCAAATGCCTCACACATGCAAGGCAAGCACTCTGCCACTGAGCTGTCAGCTCCAGCCCTGTCTGTTCCACTTTTAAGTTGGGTAACTTTATCACCCACTAAAAGCAGCATTGGTAAACTGGCTCCAACCCTAATTCCATATTAGGATCATTTAGGCCTGGATTATATAGCCCAATTGGTTGAGGATTTCTGGAGTCCAGGGTCTCCATGATTTTATTTTTTTAACAAGTGATTCTGTAATAGTGAGCATCAGTGTTAGGAACTGCACTGAGCTAAAAATGTTGGGGATAAAGAGGTAGGTTGCCAAGGTGCAAGCCTACTTTTTGATACTTATTTTTAGGAGAGGCTAGTCGGGGGCCAAATATGACCCCTTAGTGCTGTGACAGAGTGGAGACTCAAGACTGTCAGGCCTTCGGTGTGTTCCTTCAGTCACTTAGAGTTACTCTGCAGATTTCAGTCACTTAACCAGATATATGAGCTAATCAGCTAGTTATTTAAATAAGTCACTAGTACACTGATTTTTGTGTGTATTCATCACACATTTTTGTGTGATTTTAAATTATTCTTGAACTGTTTTCCTGTTTTAGGAGGAGATACTTAATCAAATAGTTCAGACTATGCCTGGAATAGCTACCTTCTTATCCAAGCCACAACCTGTTAAAGGAGGAAAAGGCTTAATGTGTGTTCTTCGTCATCTGACCAAGAAAGAAGAGAAGGCACATGGAGACTTGCAAGAGGCCCAGAAAAGAGACATTGTGAACAAAGAAAATGGAAATGACAAGGAATCAAATGTTCTGCATCAGTGATTTTAATAAAGAAAAACAGGCTTCTGAGCAAGTAAAAATTCAGTTGTTAGTCCTTCAACAAGGTCCAGTAGTTGCCTAGTGGAGGGTAAGTACTGCGACTGTGGAGAGCACCTTGTTTTCCACGCAGCTCCCCAACCCTCCGCTTTTAGGCAAAGATGCGTCTTGCTCTTGTTTCCTTTTGGGAGGGATGTAGCCACTGAGTCGAGAGGCCAAACTCCGTTTTTCACGAGATGGTTTTACCTTTGGGAATAAGGAAGACAGACAACTAGAATTCAAAGTCAAAATTATCTGGGTTAGTTTTACAGTAGTTGTGTGCTCTCACAGAGAAACACGCCTACAGAGAGGCAGGTCCTCAACAGTGGGGCAGGCCCCACAGTGGGGCCAGGGGAACACACACCAGGCTTCAGGCGCTGCAGGTTTTAGAACCAAGAACTTGCCTAAGCACCTTCAACTTACTTTAAGCTTCATTTTCTTCTTGTCAGGATCATGCACAACAGCATGCCTCATGAGGCTTTGCTATAGTGAAGAAAAAAAAGAAACCTTGTATTTTAAAAACCTTAACACTGGAGAATCCATGAACATGAAAGCTGCAGAAGTTATTTACCCTGTTAGTCTTCTTTCTGTTCAGGGATAGGATTTAAATCCACCCCCCATACCTGCCCCTGGGGTAAGGGAAGAATTCTTCACTCCAGGACTAGTGATTTTCACTGTCCTTCCAAGGACCACTTTAGGAATGTATACAACCCCAACCACTGTGGCTCTTCTTGAAGAGGGGGAAATCTGTTGTAAACGAGTCATTTATTGTTTCAAACTGAATTTTCCCAAACCATATTCCTGACCACTAGTGGGAAACCTGACCAATGTCCTGCTGATACTGGTGACAGTGCTGGCCACCCTCAGCTTCCTGGGGGTTTTCTAGCAGGGTTGACTGTGCTGAGTGAACCTCAGCTCTCTCTTCAGTCTCTATTATAATTGTGGGTAAGAATCTGTAAGACACCAACCAGAGAGAATGCAGACTGCATAGGCCCCTCCCAAGTGTCACATTCTCACTGACCCCATGCACACTGCTCAGACCTAGATGAAATCCCCAAAGTTCTGTGGCCCCTCATCTCCTTGTTGCTCATTTCCCCTTCCAAGTCCTTAAGTGATGGTATCTAGAAGAACCCAAAGCACCAGCATACTCTAAATAAGCATAGATACCAAGGTCATTGGCTCCCTAACTTAGTACATGATTCCTGGGCCCCACCCACAGGGCTTCTGACTCAGCAGGGTTAAAGTGGGCCTGAGAACCTTAATTTTTAACAAGTTCCCTGTTGATGCCAATGCTTCTGGTGGAGGGCACACTCTGAGATTTGGTGAAGCCAGTATATTCTGCAGATCTGAATGAAGAACCACGCAGCTGAAGCAAAAGTGGGAGGTGTGTCATGCCTGCTCAGCAGTTCTTCCCATTTGCAGACCCCAGGATGCCAATCCAAAGCCCATGTATAAGCACAGAGAGAAAGGGGGCTGTACACATTGGGGAGAACTTACTTTCATTGCAAATGTTTTGCCACAGCCAGAGTGTTCACACACAAACGGGCGCTGTTCCTCATGGAAAGAGAGAATATGGCTCTGGAGATTAAACACAGTTGTGTAGGTCCTACCACAGCCTTCTCTTGGGCATCGACACATATGCCGTTCTGGGGCATGAGTTTTCATGTGCTGCTTCAGGTAATCTTTGCGTTTAAATGTTTTCTGGCATACTTCACATGATATTTCCTCTGTGAAGTAGACAAATTTAACCAACTTTCTTAGATAGTGCCACACAGAAAAAATAATGCTGAATGCATAAATAACATACTCAATGTCCCAAACCTATGACTATACAGAAATTTCCAAGCAAACTCTAACCCAAGATTTTTTTGCAGGAGGATGGGGGGTACCAGGGATTGAATCCAGGGCCACTTAACTACTAAGCTACATCCCTAGTCCCAAATTGCTTAGGGTCTTGCTAAGTTGCTGAGGTTGGCTTTGAACTTGGGATCCTCCTGCCTCATCCTCCCAAGTTGCTGGGATTACAGGCATGTGTCGCCATGCTTGGCCTAACACCAACTTTTACTGCTAGGAGATTTGTCTCAATTCGTTTAATTTCTTATATCACTCCCAAGCCCCTTGGGTGTTCATCATCTAGAAGCAGAGGTTCTCAGCATGGTAACTGGACAGGTGGAGAAAACAAAATATTGCCTACACCATGTCCTTCAATATGAGGCACTGTTTTCCCAAGCGCCTCACAGAGCACTGGTGCCTTCCAAGACTGTTCACTGGAGACTTCAAGAACCTTTGGGCATGTTAAGTCATGGCATGCTAGTTCCAGGAGACCTGGCCCAGCTCTGCTAACCTGGCAAACAGCTGAGGGAGCCAGCATTTCACAAAACATAAAAAATCTTTACTTTATTGTATATATTTAACATTCCACTCTTTAAAAGCACTACATCAATTCTGCAGTGGCAAATATTTATATCATGTCTTTCATGTGTGCCTTACCTTTGTGGGTTTCTCTCATGTGTTTTAAAAGTTCTGTCCATGTTTTTGCCATAAAGGAACATCCCTTTTGACATATATAGCCTGTTTAAAAAAAAAAAAGACTGGTGCTCTGACTGTTTAGAATATTCAGGGTAAACACTGATAATTAGAAAGGAAACTTATCCGCCTGAAAATCTTTCTCCTTTCTCCCAATAACGTTCAATTCTGTTGGACTCAAGAGGTGAGAATAAAAACTTAAGAAAGGGTAATGTTATAGTGAAATTGTATACAAGGTGCTTCGTGTTAGGACTTTACCCTAGCAGATACCCCAGGAAGGGTGCCTCTATCTCGTTAGGTAAACCATGTACATATTTCACCTGCTAATTAACCCCACCCCCAACACACACACAGGTTCATGTTCCCTTTCCCTGCCTCTCTAAGCATGCTTCTTTTTTCCATCAGCAAAAGTGTTACCCAGCCCTTTGTCCTTGGCAGACCATCAGCACCAAGACTCAGGAGTTACACTGCCCATTCCCTAGCTACCTCTAGTCTTGCATCTTTGTAAGTTTCATACTGCAAAAACAAGTAAGGTATAGCTATGGAAGAAAATAAACCAGGAGAATCCAGAGAAAAACACTGTGATCCGAAATATATATTGTGCAAAAGCACAATAACTGGATTATCAGCCATATGAAACAGGCTGAGTTTCTCCCACTACAAACCAAAAAGAATGTGGCTGTCTTGCACTCTTGCTCACTAATTCATTTAAAAACAAAATTCTAGGACCTGGAAAACTAGAGTATAGATACCACAAAGCCCTCCTAGTAACAAGACAACAAATAGAAGTAGTTAACGGAATCAAGTAGTTTTTGTTAAGTTACAGTCTCATGGCTGTGAAAACTTCACCCTATTATCTTAGCCTTCTGAAAAGCCAATAAGGAAGAGAGTAGCACAGGTAGTAAACAGAAGGGTTCAGACTGATGTAAAGAAGCAAAGCCCTGGCTGGATACAAACGGCTTCTGTGCAGAGCAGGAGCAGGCACTGGGAAAGAACAAGACCTGAATAAGCAGAAGGGCATCCCTCTTGCTCCTCAGCACGGGCATGGAATAGAATAGAAAGCACCAAGTAGTCAATTAAACACACCCGACTGTCCATGTGAGTGCACACAGGGCCATCCATACATACCCTCGTGGACCTTTCCATGTCGTTTCAGGCTACTGGGTGAGGCAAAGTGCTTCCCACATCCTTCCTGGGGACACCTTAGTTATAACACATGAAATGTTAGCAATCCACTTCCACAAAGAACTCCACTTAGAGCAAATGGTACTTAATTCTACTTCTTCCAACATCTTGCCTCTCCCTACAACCAGTCACAAAAGTAAGATTAAAATGTAGATCTAATCAGAGATGAAATTCCAGTCACTTAATTAGTCTTGGAGCAAAAATTAACTACTTGAGAGAAAAAAGCCACATTACTTCTTTTGTTTATATGATCACATAAACAGTCTTCATCATCATACCACTGAAAAATATTCTGCTTTCATAGCTACAAAGATACCTCAAGAGGTGTCAGACTTGGCTTAGGTAAATACCTGAACAATCCTGAGCAATTTGTGACAAAGGATGTGGGTTGTGTGATAAGAAAACACAGCAGCAGATGCAGGAGCCCCGGGTGAGCCATAAAAAGCACATGCTCGATCCCCAGCACCACCAAAAACAAACAAAATACGCTACTCTGGTGTTAAAGGAACTGACAGCACAGGAATAAGCTGCAGACCTACAAGCAATGACAGCACTGTCACTGCAGCAACTCCAGGGCGTAGGGCAGCCAGCGTGAGCCAGAAGGAAGACAATGACCAGCTCCACTACACAGGGAGCACCAGCATGAGGCGCAGTTCTCATCCCTTGGTGCCCTTTGTAGCTCTATCTGACATGTCCAGCCACCCTTCTGTGTTCCTCAGGAAACCCTCTCTAACTGCAGGTTGAGGCCACTTCTGTCTTGTTCTACAGGAAAATAACTCGTGCCTTCATAATGACATTTCATGGAGTTGCACAGGCTCTACATGAACAGATAGGCCATTCCTGAGCCTTCCCTTCAAGCTTGACTACAACTGTACCATCTCATAGCCTTCTCTGAAACACACTAAATATTTGTTTTAAAGAAACAAAACAAAATTTACCTTTTAAAATGCCCTCATATATAAACAGGTATATATGATGCATATTAACAGAAAAACATTGGTTAGGAAGCTGTTCCAGAACATCGGCTCCCAATCTTTGCATTTCAATCTTATTCACACCTAGAATTTCAGAGACCACCAGCCCCGTGCAACACACACCTGAATGGAGGCTCATTGGTATGTTCGCACTGATGAACTTTCAGCTGCTGATGTTTTTTAAAGGCCTTCTTGCAACCTTCGAAATTACACTGTTAATAAATGTTTGTTAGTCTTGAGAAAAAACAAAAAAATCAACAGTTCATAACAATCCTTTAAAGGTAAAACTATTTTAGAGACTACACATTTGCTCCTTTCACTTATTTAGTTACCTTAAAATTCTACTTTATGTCAAGAAGCTTTAAAGATTAATGACATTTGAAAAAGCAAAAATATTTTGGTTGAGGTAGTTACCCAATTATATACTTTAAATGTGCACAGTGTTTGCTTACAAAATAAAACCTTTATGATTAGGATAGCCAGTACCAGACTAAATTTAGATATTTGAGAGACAAAATTTGGTTAATGGAAACTTTAGAACATCAGCAATAAGTGTAAAAATATTCAGAAAATTTAAACATATGAAAATCATACTACACAAAAGCATATACAATCATACTTACAACATACTGTTTTTGCTGATTTTCATGTTTGTGTTCAAAATGTTTCTTCAAGTTTGATTTTGTGTTGAATTTCTGATCACAACCATTAGCTGTACAACTGTAAGAAATTTTATAAACCAATATATTAACAAGCCAAGGGAAGAGAAATTTTAATGTATATCCCCCTATTTTTAAAATTTTTCTTTTTTTGGTGCTGAAGATGGAACCTACAGGCCCTTTACCACTGAGCTACATCCCAGCCCATTTTTAAAATTTTGAGACAGGGTCTCACTAAGTTGCTAAGGCTGGTCTCAAAACTGCAATCCTCCTGCCTCAGCTTCTCAGGTTGCTGATATTACAGGCATGTGCCACCATGCCCAGCGTACCTTCCTATTTATAAAAAATATTCCAAAGGAAAGTATAAAATAGTAAATTTCAAAGTGTTGAGCTGTATGCTCAGTAGAAGAACATGTGCTTGGCATGTACAAGGCCCTGGTTTTATCCCCAGCACCATCAAAAAAAAAGAAAAAAATCCCAAAGTGTTAAGCCATATGATACAGGCCTTTCAACTTTGATGTGACCACCACATAACAAGAGGCTTTTTCGTGTTTGACTTTTAACATAAAGCATACTACATGAGACATTCTCCATACACTAGCAGAAGAGAAGGTAAAAACACTAGTCCCAAGGCCTAAATCCTGCTCAGGTTCTAATCAGGCTCACATCAGTCTCAGGTTAGAATCTGATAACCTCAATTTTACATGAAATGTCACTATAAACTGCATTTTCAGAAAGGTCTTAAAAAAAAAAACCTTGGTTTCAGCTTATGATTAAAGGTAAAACAGATACCTGGAGCAGAACCATAAACCATATGCTCTCTGGCATATCACCAAGCCAGTCTAGTTTCCCATAAGTTGGCATCCTGGCCTTGAATGATCTAAATCCTCTGTGCAGCTTAAGAAAAGAAAGAAAGAAAAAGAAAAAGTGCCTCTTGTGAAGAGCATTCATAAGGCTGGCCGATGAAGCAGGACTTCCTTTCCAAGTCTCAGTCTCAGCTACCATTCAACTCTGATGCTCAGCAGTTACTCCTAGCAGGCACTGAGGGTCCCCAGGGCCAGGTGAGGAAAGGCAGTGACCAGGAGTTGCTGAGACAGTGAAAACTCCAGAGCCGAGGCCCACGGAAGCTCAAGGGAGAATTGCTGTGCCAGAGAATACCAGAAGCCCTCGACCGCAGGATCAGAATGCTGAGGGTCGACTGAGCAGGTGGCCAACAGAAAGCTTTGTCCAGCCTCCCTGCATTAGAAGTGGCCAGGTGGCAAAGTTCCACCAAGTTGTTCAACTCTCACAGTGGTTAAAATGGGAGCACACCTTTGCCCCTTCCTCCTCCTTGCCTGCTCATATGCTGATACAGCAGCCAGAACTCCAACAGGCATCTTGGAACACAAGGATGAAGCCCCAAGATGAAGACCACAGAGAAAGCAGGCAGAAGCAGCTCCAAAACTTCCACAACTGTCCTGCCAAATAGCCATGCTGTCTAAGCCTCTTTCTTCACTCTAAACCTGACACAGGCATCTAACTCAACATGCGTGTGGGGCAGGAAGTTGGAGGCAGGAAATCCTGACAGGAACCAAACAGCAGGTGCAGAGACAGGAAGGCCCCGGGCAGACTGGGGGTGATGGGTATCGGTTAGTTAAGCATAGCTGGACCACAATTCCATGTCTGAGAATCAAGCAAACGGTGCAAGATAAACAGCAAAGGGCTAAATCACACTGGCCATTTGTGTGACACACTAGGAACCTGGACTTCATCACGTAAGCAGAGGTCAAAACTGCTTCAGTGTTAAGAAGGGAAGCCATCTGGAGGTGACAAGGGAGAGGGCCAGGTGAGGCAGAGAAAACACCTCAGGCACTAGGGAGTGAGGGCCTGGGACAGGACAGCTGCGGAGTGAACAGGAGGACCCAGGGGACAGTCAGGGACCTCAGCTGCAGGGGGTGGGGGAGAAGGATGAGGGAGCTGCCTTATCTTTACATAGGTGACCAAACAGTGCTGTCCCCTACCCAGATAAGAAAAAGAGCAGGAGTCCAAGGAGAGGAGAGCTCAGTTTGGACTGTGAGCAAATTCAGCCACAAAGAATTAACCCCAGAGACAGCCAAGCAGTACTGTCCAGTGAGCCAATGACCTGGAGCTACAGAGAGGGAGGGCTGGGCTGGAGCAAGCTCAAGGACCACCACCAAGTGTTTTTCCACTGCGTGGCAATGACCCTGCCCTTTCCATGTGTCTGTGCAGGTGGGCCGAGCCCTAATTCCCCTTTAAGATTTAATAGAGCACACAGTCACTTTGTACAGAAATCATGATGCATAAAAAAGGAGCGTGGCTGCAGTGTTCCTACCCAACCAGCACTCTCCTGCCACTTCCAAAATGGATATTTTTAGTATTGCTATGTGACTTTTAGGGTTTCTCAATATAAACAAAAGCAAATGGTTTCTTCCCGTCCCACCCCTGCTTTTTTACACACAAAAAGGTAGCCCTGTATATAGGACGTTAATACATTAGTTTTTTGATTAATATGCCGTGATGATTTTTTTCCAATGGTTTCTCAGAAAATGTCTTCATTCATTTTTCTAGCTGTATAGTATTCCTTCAGGTTGATATACCTTGACCTGTCCTTACTGATGAGCATTTGGATTGATTCCAATGTTTTGCTACTAACAACAGTGTGCATGCAACTTGTATGTACCTTTACTACATTTGTAAATTCCCAAAGTAAATCTTCCAGGTCAAAGACCATCCCTGTAGTACTTCACAGACCTCTTTAGTTGTTCTGTTCTGGTCTAGGTGGACTATATTTTGAAATAATTTAAGCTGTGCTTAGGTTCACTGATTTTGACAATACCCTATGCACATGAACAGGGACTGAAATGAAAGCCATCCTCAGTACTCTGCCCCATTCCTGCAGGCTACCATGCTGTTAGGACAGAGCCTCTGACCTGTCACGGAGGAGACAGTGAAGTCTGTCCCATGTCATGAATTCACCTTTCTCAGATCATCTGAGTAATTCAGACAAGAAATAATTCACGTTCGCTTCATCTTAAAACTCAAAGAAATTCAACTCAGGCCATTAGGAAATCTTCTTGAACAAAGAAATGTGTCACAGAACAAAATTATGATATTAAATCCTAGTATCTGAAAAAGTTTCTAAGCAGCTATTTCCTGTCATAGTCTCTGCATACAGCTCTGGACAGCTATTATGGTTATTTTGTTTTGCTTTCTTCTTTGAAAACTATTTTGTTTTCATGATAAATAATCTGGTTAATGGTTCTCAGAGTGTGGGAGCCAGATCGGCAGATCAGCATCATTTGGGAACTTGCTAGAAATACCAATTCTCAGGCCCCATCCTGCACCTACTAAGTCAAATTCAAGTGGATCCTGAAGTCTGTGGCTTTCCTGGTCTTTGTTGTGGTGCCCAGGATTGAGCTCAGGGCCTCACAAATGCTAAGCACACATACTACCACTGAGCCACACCCCTAGCCCTCTGAAATCTGTTTTAACAAGCTCTTTGAGTGATCTGATGTGCCCTAAATTTGAGTTCCACTGGTATGAAACAGCAGAAAGGAAGGCAGTATTTCCACCCTTCCAGAAACAGCAACTTCTAGAAGAATAAAATTAAAACTTAAACAGTAGTGGTGGCAAAAGCTTGGTTCTGGGAAACACCAGACCAGATAGTAAGAGCCCTACTTCATCATGCTTTTATCACTTATCCTAGCAACTTACAAAGACTACACTGTTCACAAAGACCTTGACAACACCAAGCCAAGAATTTTCCAGGTAACTGTTTTCTATTCAGTGATTTCCAAATTGTTTTTCAAGATTGATTTCTAATTATTATATGTTTTAAAGGGAGATGAGAGGATGCAAACCAAGGGAACTTCCTATCAACTCATTCTTAAATTTATTATACAAATAACCTGCAATAACCCTTTCTCTCTTCCACACATTCAAAACCTATTCTCCTCTCATATAAGAAGATGAAAGCAACTTCACATTCATGATCTTGTGAGTTTAAGATCAATCCTCTTAGCAGGTATATATGCCAAACACTTCCTACCTCAAAGCCCTAAAACCAGTTCTGTACTTACACAAATGGTTTTTCTCCAGTATGAATCAGGATGTGGCGACTCAGATGGTAGTCCCTGACAAAGGCCTTGCCACAGCCTTCATAGTCACAAGCAAATGGTCTCTAGCAGGAAGAAAAAAACATGTCAATCTTGCCCTAGTTAGAGATTAACTGGTATTTATTTAAAAGCCTAAAGTGTTTACTAGGCAAAGTCACAGACTCCCTATCCACAGATGATTTCCATTCAGAAAGCAAGTTGAACACTTGCTATACTCAAGCAAGACCAGGTTTTCCTACCTGAAATTACACAGCATAAATGCCACAACTTCTCACATCACTGCAGATTTTTTCTCTGTGGCTATCACCTGGAATAAGCAGGCAGCCTTTCCAGTAATGGCACAGCACTGCTAACCTGTTTCTAACTGGTGTCTGTGGTAAGAGAATGAATGCCAAGCACAGTTACAGGAAAATGTGTCACCTGAGAAAGCTCATAGGTGCTGGGGCCAAGCAAAGACAACAGCTCAAGGCCCTGATTACAACCATTATTTGGGACCCAGGAGGTGGGAAGGGCCCCAGATGACATTGAGGGAGGCCAACAAATTTTCCCAGTTTCGGCAGAGCCAGAATAGGTGATGCCTCAGCAGAAGGCCCTTAATTTCTTAAGCTAAGGCCTGCATCCCTGCGTTTGCTCCCTGCATCTACCCTAACTTACAGGCTACCTCCTCCGTGTGTTCTCATGGTCCCAATTCTCACCCTCTCCAGCCTTTGAAGGCTGACTGCCTCTAGTTCTTTTGCTTTTCCTCACTGGCCCAGAATTCCATTCTGAATCTACAGGGAAAACCAAAACACATCCCCAATCAGTTTCATGTGTCTAACTATGGAAAGCACACCACCATGACATCCAAGAGGGAGGTACTAAGACCTTGATGAGTGGATTGGGAACAGTCAGCGGGCAGGAAGGCACAAGTGAGCTGCATTACCTACCAAGGGCAGAACCACAGAACCTTGCTCAGCTTACCAAGGAGCAGGCTCAATGAGTATCTGTCAGTTAATCAGCGTGTGAGATGTGGGACAACACAGATGACTTCATGTTTTCCAACTGTATAACAAAGCTGGCAACACTGATATCCAAAATACAACATACAGGTCTAAAAGGAAAGGCAAGCTCTAACTCGGACACACTGGTTACATGGATCCCAAAATTTGGGACAAGGACAGCCATCAGTCTTCAAAGGCAGTGGAGCGTGAGAATGCTTAACTGCATTGCATGGTGGAGGTGGCCTGTAAGTTAGGGTAGGTGCAACAAGCAAAGACAGGAATGCAGGGATGTGGGCAGTGCATGTTCTGTGGCATTCCTGAGGCACTGCCAATCCCAGCTCTGCCCCAAACTGGCAAAAGGGGCGGATTTCATAGCCTCCAAGAGTCTTGTTTTCCTCACCTGCAACCCAGAATGCCACATCACATAACTTTAACTAACATCCTCCAAAGGCTTACACTGCCCTAAAATAAACTCCTACCCTGAACTACAAGCGATTCCACCCGGCCTCTCAGACCTCACCTCTTAAAGATCCCCTCACCTAATCACACTGCTCTGCTTTCCACCCCAGGATCCCTTTGCCATTCTTTCTACCTGACTCAAATGTCTGTCCGGCTAGATCCTTCTTATTCAGCTCACACAGTAAGGCCTTTCCTGACCACTCTTCACTGCTCTTCATTCCTGCCTAGTCCTTTGCCTGATCCGCTAAAACAATGTCCGTGGCAGCAAAAGCCTGGTCTGTTCTGTCCAGTACTTTCCCCCTACTTATGAAAGAACGAACACGTGCTGCTTGCACAATCCCGGGTTCTGGGAAGTTTTCCTCTGTACCAGCTCTAGGAGTGCAGAGGGAGGCGGTCTGGGAGGGTAGTGGGCTGTCTCGCCGTGCGGCATTTACAGATCACCGGAAGGTGCTTGAATGGCAGACTCAGGATCCAAGGAGAAAGGACTGAATAGGAAGCCACGAGCCGTGGCAAAGATACCGCGGCCCTAGGACTTCTTGTCACTTCCTCAGCTCCTTTCCTAACTTAAGACGAGGATGCCAAGGCTGAACACGTCTAGCAAACCTGGCCCTCGGCACCCGCAGGACACAGCGGCCGCTCTGTGGCCACGCCCCGTCCTAAGCGGAGGGGAACAGCCCACCAGTCAAGTCGCCGCGCGCTCAAGGGCTGGGCACCGCGCCCTCCGCAGTTCCGTTACCTCCCCCGTGTGCTTGCACAAGTGCGCGTCTAGCTTCCAGGCCTTGTTGTAACTGGCGCTGCAGTCCGGGAAGGAGCAGATGAACTGCCTGGGGAGTGCGCCGGGCGACGCGGGCGGCGCTGGGCTGTCGCCAGCGGCTATGAACGCATCGGCAATGGTCAACGACGAAACCGCCTCGGCAACCAAGGCCGGCTGCTCCAGGGCGCCCGGGTCCCCGCCCACGGGTCCAGGCGCGCGGCCAAGCGCCGCGAACCGGCGAGCGCGGCAGAACGCTCCGGGGACACTTCCGGGAGCGGGGCGCGGCGGGCATCAGGCTCCGCCTCGGCGTCGCGGCCGCGCACGTTCTGCAAGTCCCTGCTGAGTGTCCTGGCCGCGCATGCGCCGGGAGTCCTGGCCGCAACCGGAACCCCAGCGGTTTACCAATCTGCAGCAAAAGGGTCCCAGGCAGCACAAACGCCTAAGCACTGCTTCACTGTTACTTGTTTCCCATCCGCCACTATCCTCTAGAAACTGTTAACCTTATGTACTTTAACTTGTTCGTTAACTTTATGGCATTGCACGCTTTGTGGATTCCTTTCCTTGCATACTGTCCAGGTTCTTCTGCTGCAAACCCAGAATAGAACCACGTAGAGATCTTTCAAAACTTCCAAAGCTCAGAGTGAATCTGGACCATTTAAGCCACAATTTGGGGGATCAGGGAGGGTAGAAACAGGCATCAGTATTTTTAAATGCCCAATTGATTACAATGTGCAAGCAACATGCAAACCACAACTTTATGGCCTTTTATACTGGACTTTGAACCGTCAGCATCACTAGAGACAGGAATCTCAAACTTACTTGAATCCGGGAGATCTCCAAGTGATTTGATGCATATGGAATCCGAGGAAGCATTGTTGAGAGGTTTGAATATGGGTAGCCTGGTTTATGAGAATCACACATGTAAAGGATAAGCCTGAATAACAGGGATACTATGGATTGCCTGATGTTCCATCAGGTTCATCTTTTCATATCCTGCAGCTTTCCAAATCATTAGGTTAACATCTGTGTGAAAATGATGGACAGGTCTCTGAGCCAACAAGCCAGGACTTTGATAATCCAAACTGGAATCCTCATATAGTATTTTTAAGAATCAGTCTCCTCATCTTGAAAATGGGAAAAATAGTACTAATGCCTGAGAGGTAACTTTTGTGAAAAGGACTGGGAGGGTGTCTGTGATGTAGGCCTATATGTTGCTTTCCTGGTTTACTGCTCCACCTCTTTCCAGGAGAGAAGTCCACACATACCTTTCCTACAATTCTGGAAGTGTGACATGGTTGCCCTGTGCTGTTCCTAGCTTTCTCCTTCTGTTGCTTTGTGAACATGGCCAGAGTACATGGTGAACCTCTGAGGTCCTTCTTTCTCTATTGGCCACCTGGCCCCATACAGCACACCATGGCTCTTCTCATGACTTCCTGACTGTTCCTGTCTCCTTGACCAATTGTTCTTCCACCTTCTTACTTTAACTCTCATGTGTTCACGCTCAGCAACAGCAGAACATGGGCTTTCAAGCTCAGTCACCTGGCTTTGGATTCTCAGTAAATTTATTAACTATAGGACTTTGGTATGGGTCTCTGAATTTTTTTACCTTAAAACTGAAATTGTTATCTCACCTACCTTAAGGCCATTTTTAAAATTAAATGAGATCATTACCAAACCCAGGTCCAGAAGTACATCCCATGGGGAAACCAATATCAGAGGGATGAGTGTTGGGGAGAAAGAAAGGCTTTATTCAGGAGTCAAAGAATGGGGAGGTGGGAGCTCTGCTCCCAAACCAGCTTATCAACTCTTGGGTTTGAGGGTTTACAGATACAGGGTAGAAATTACGGGGGGAGGGGCTAATAAAAGGGAAGATACTCATGTATTTTCTGAGAATATGCAGAAATCTTCCAGGAACTCAGGTATCACCTCTTTACTTCTTTCATAGTCTGGTGTTTCCTATCATGGTGGCTGGTGTGCCTTGAAGTGAGAGGAGAGTGGCTGGGAAAGCCTAGGTCAAGTTAACCCTGGATTATAATTTAAGAGCAAACATTTTTCTCAAATGATCAACAAGTCTACATGCAGATTTGAGAAAAGGAGATGCATGCAATATGGAGACAGAGACGTTGAGAGTTTTCACTCATTGTACATCTGCAGGTTCAATAAGAGTCAGTGTTTTCAGCAAAAGGAGCCTTCAAGTTTCTGAAAATTAACCTAGGCAACTTTAATCACCATAACTCTCATGTCAGAAATATTATCTACAACAAAGCTAGTGGGAGACTAATAATGTATTGCCCAGCTCTTTGACCTCCAGAATTAGTGATTTTTAAGTTAACTAAGAACCAGTGGAGCTAGAGGGTTCATATAGATCTTTTTTCAATAATGATATTAATGACAAATATTATTAATGATATTAATTACAAATATTATTCTCTTTCTTTCCCTGAATTGATCCGTGGCCCTACCTCTTTCCTCTCTGCAGTTTATTCCCCAATATATTTTTCCAATGCCCCACATTTCTTGTTAGAGTCTGTAAACAAGTCAAAATAACACCTGGCATTTTGCCAGGGGAATGTTAGAGTTAGTAAACAAGTCTGGATGGTGCCTGGCAAAATGCCAGAGGGAGTGGTTTGTGAAGTAACGCCAGTGAGCCATTAAGTGTGGAGATTCCTGATTGGTTGACTGATGTATCTAGTTTATGCTAATTAGATAAGCTGTGTGGAATGTATAAATACTGCTCCTGTCCTGCAATAAAGGGCTCCCACTCCTGCTGTATCAACGTACACAAGTTATTCGTCACCCCCGATTATTTTGCTGCAGCCAGCCGGGCTGCGGCAATTTCTAAAGTGGATTTTTCTTGAGCATTAAGCAGTCACCTCAAACTCAATATAATTTGTAGGTCAAGCAATATTGCCATCTGTCTACCTACATCATCCCCTGCCCTTTTTTCTCCCTGTCAACAACACTAGAATTCTCCCAGTCATGAAAACAGTGGTTCTCAACTGTATACATTAGAGTCCCTGGGAGCTTTTGAAAATGATGATTCTTGGGCGCCTACCACCAGCTCCTTCCTCTGCCCTTCCCTTACTGGCTTCTGCACACTTCTTGTCCATTCTCCCCTCCACAGGATTTCCTGCCTTTACATTCTCCTACCTTTCATCTCTCCTGCATGTGCTGCCAGCATCTTCTCCCTAAACCATTGAGACTTTACAGGTTTAAGCTCATGCGACTAATATTTGCAAAGCATTTTTATTTCTCAAAGTATTATTCCTATAATTCTGTGATGACGTTTAGGTGGGAAATGAGAGACCTGGGTTCAGACCTCCTCCAGGCCAGGATCAAGCCCAACATCCTCTAGACAAGCATCACCTGCAGTCCCCAGATTTACTGACTTTGAATTTTTGTGACCTTTTCTTTCTGTAGCACTGATTAGATGGTCCTCTGATGTGTTGGGCTATTTTTAATTGTCCAGACATATAATTTCCAATTTGCCAGATCTTGGTTTTATCACGAAAAGGGCAGGCATTGATTCTTTTTGAATCCTCAGTAGCAAGGTGAAATTCATACAGGAAGGGCTGATTTATTTTTTGTTAGTTGAATGAACATAACCATGAATTCATGGTGTGAAATCTTAAAGGTTTTACACAAGTGTCTTCATTGAGGAGTCTTTGGTGTGCAAGGGAAGGAACATAATTCCACTCCTAATCCATGTGAAAGGAATTTAAAGGAAGGATATGAGGATACGAGGGGGCATTGAGCCAATTACTGAAAGCCCTTGGGATTTCTGAGTCATCTGCAGACAGTCCATTTCTCAGTCTACCACTATTGGGACCTGCTGTCCACCTTAGTCTTTCTCCTCCTTTGCTCTCTGGGCATTCATTTCCCCAGCCTCTCCCCTTGCTCTTCTTCCCCTCAATTCCTCTCCCCACTACCTGTCCCTATTCAGGCTTCAGGCCCTCCCAGGACCAGGTCTCTCCTCACCTCTGCCAGTTTCTTCACTCTCTTCTCTGTGAATCAGCTGCTTCTATGAGACTCAGAGTTTCTACCCTTATAACTGTAGTTTTCCAAGGATTTTGTCTCTACCCATGCAGCTAGACCTTATGTAATCTGGTCTCTAAACTATTCATAGCTAATAACCCCTGCAGGAGAGTTTGGTCCAGTTAGGATTCCAGATCTTCCTCCATCCCAAACAGCTTCAGCCCTGGAGGGGATATGACTGTGCGTCATGAGGATCAAGCCCAAAAGTTACAAAAGACAGAAGAATCATGGCTTTCCTGTTGTAAGTGGTAAATTTCATTTACTAGCCACCCTTTGTAGTATGACTTTGTTCCACCCATAAAGGGAGCTGGAGATCTTTTCCCACCCCCGATTCTGTGCTCAGCTTTATAATTTCTTTGACCCTGCAAGTTGGAAACAACAGTGTGTGGGTTCCAAGCCTAGGCCTCAAGAGACCTTGCCCATAGCTCCCTGTGCCTGTGACATAGCCACAAGGATGACATTTCTACATTAGCCTGGCCCAGGAAGCAGAAGGGACATGAGGAGCAAAGCTGAGCCTTCCCAGCTGACCCCAGTCTGGCTCAGCCAGTCCACAGATTTGTGACAATAAATGATTTAAGCCATTGATTTGGCAGGTGATTTGTTATGCAGTGATTTTATGATAATAATAAAGTAATATACCCTCTTTGATGTGATGGTATAAATAATAAACATGCTTGGTAAATGAACATGCTCAAATCTGTACCTATCGTCTTTCAAACAAATCCTTTTCAAGTCCCTGTGATCCCCCATCCACTGCCTGACCACACTCCCCTTCCTCGCCAAGTTAACTAAAAGACTAGCATGTGCTCTTCTTCCTCTTTGTCTATTCACACTTTCTTCATCATCACAGAAATTTTAAGCATTGACAAAAATAGAGTTAATAGTAGAAAGAACCCCTTTGGCCCGTCACAACCACCATCAATCTTTTGCCATTCTGTATTCATTTCCCTGCCTTCATTCCAAGCTAGAACCCACAGACCCGGAAACTCAGTGTGCCCAAAGCTACTCTCCTTCTCCCCTTCCCTACATATGGGGTCACCTTGCCTCCATGAGAGGTGCCAGCATCCACCCAGCGGGCTGACCGTGGCTCCTTCCCTCTTGCCCCCTCCATGGTCCATCGCTATTGATTTTACTTCCTCCTTATCAGTAACACCCAAGGAAGACTCTGGTCTTCTAGTTCCCATGGTGAGTTGTGATTCTATCAGAAAAAGAATTTTCAGGTTGATCAAATCAGCCCACCCCCAACCATGTGGAGAGATTTCTGCTGCTCAGGAGCTATTCTTCCCCCCAAACTGTTCCAGATCTGCCCAGAACCCCTGTTATTCTACCAAGCCTTAGACCTACCAACACCATCTCAGGTACTTTGATTTTATTATGGGCATAGCATATTGGAAACCTGCTTCACCTCCCCTCTCACCATCCCCCAACCAGTAATTAAAGGAGGATTAATCTCAGAAAGAAGTTGCATAAAATGGAAACCCAAGATCCCTTCCAGCTCAAACATTCTATGGTTCTTTGGCAGGAAATGGAGAGATGGCAAGGCTTTTTTTTGTTGTTGTTGTTTTTTGTTTTGTGGGTTTTTTTTTTTTAGTTAAAACTTGGCAAGACAAATGTGATAATTGCAGTTCTTAACAGTCTATGATTCTGTTATAAGAAAGGAAGAGAGTGATAATATTTTGAGCCAGCACTTGACAAGATAAATATGTACTAAAGAAGAAGAAGGTATATAGTAGGTTTGGAAGGGAGAGTCCTTAAGTAGGGGAGGCACACTAAGAAGCCATTGTCATCAGTAGAGTAGGAACTTTGGACTTGAGGTGATCGTGGAAATAGAGAACATCTGAGGGCTCAGGTAAGATGCCAGATCAGTAATGGTGGTGGTTAGAAGCATGGACTTTAGAGTTTGGCAGACCTAACTTTGAATCCTGGCTCTACTGTTTACTATTTGACCTTGAGACAGTAATTTAATGCCACTAAAGTTCATGTTTTTTATATAATGAAAATAATAACGTGCCACACAGTGTACTGAGAATTACATGAGGCAATTCATTAAGACACAAGGATCCAGAAACATAGTAAATAAACAAAAATTATAGCCTATTTGTGTATGTGTGTGAAATCATATAGGATTGGGACTTCCATCTTACTGGCAAAGTCTCCTCCTTGCCTTCTTGAGCTTTTCGGTTTGCACACTTTAATGAAACAAACTACTGTGCTGGAGACATCTACATAGCAGGGAATTGAGAGTGGTCTCTGACCAGCTGCCAACTTGGCAGTGAGGCCCCCCGTTGGCAATCCTCAAGGAATGGAATCCTGCCAACAATCATGTAAGCTTGGAATTAGATACTGTCCCAGTCAGACCTGCAGATGAGACCTGAACCCTTACTGACTGCATCCTCAGAGAGACCCTGAAGCAGAGGAACCAGTTAAGCTGTGCCCAGATTTATGACCTACAGAAACTATGAGATAAGAAGTATGTATTGGTTTAAGGCCCTACATTTGGGGGAGATTTTTATGTGGCATAACTAAAACACAGAGTCAAAGATCCTACTCCACAAAATCATTCTAGATCTGTTGGTTCTGAATCCACCCGAAGAAGAGATTCATGTGGGTT